ACAAAGTACCTGAAAGACGAAGTCCAGGGTCAGCTTTATGGTGGTCTGTTTCAATCCAGGAGCGGATTTTTAGTATCCAGGAGAGGAGTTAGGGTGTCAATGAATCTGCCAATGTCCTGAAAATTCTGTGTGTGTTTGTGTATGCGTGTGCAAGTGCTAAAGGTGTATTTTCCCCCCTAGGGAGCTGATAGCATGTAACCTTCATCAGATTCACAAAGAGGGTGGAATAATGCAAGAACTTGAGGTTGGGATGCGCTCCGTGGTGAGCACTTGCCTGGTGTGTGCAGAGCCATGCATTTCATTCCCAGAACTGAAGTGGGGAGAGAATGAAGAGCTGAGCGTTTGAAATGTGTTCCCCTCAGTCAGGCTCTGCAAAAGCCTTTGAGCAACAGTGAGATCAGGGCTGTGGTCAGAGAGGGAGAAGTTCTGTGAGCTGGCTCCCTGCACAGCCACTGGTTCAGCAGTTGCTAGGCCCAGCAAGGGACTGATTTCCTTTTTTAAAAAATATACTTTATAAGGACTTCCACTGAGAGGTCCATGTGGCAGGGCCAAAATTCTTTTCAGAAAGAAACGAGGCCTTCTTTCTAACATGGACAAAATAAGCAGTAATATAAATTATGTATAATTCTTCCAGAATCAACCACAAGCCAACATAAAGGAATATCACATTTGAAAACAACAGAACCAAATTTAAAAGCATAAACATTTGATAACTACTCCTAATCCTTACTTGTTATTACTATAGCTTAATCTACCTTGATTTTATTTCCAGTCCTGTGCAGACTCCTACTTTGTAATTAACCTTGAATATATGTTGGCAGTAGAGCCCTTCAGAAACCCACAGAAGCTTCTGAAACCCTCTACCTTGTTTGGTATTCAAAGGTACTTTGGCTTCTTTCAGTGGATAGTTTGCCCTGTGCTTTGCCCAAAGGAGTGTAATTTACCATCTGAGCTGTGTGGGGTAATTAGAGGGCTCCACTTGCTCGCCCTGTACGCCTTCCGGGGCCTAGGAAGGCGCCTTCTCCTGCTGCTGGCTGTGCCTCCTTCAGGAGCAGGAAGAGAGCAGCGCCCTCATTAGCAGTATGAAATGGGTATCACTGTCTTCTTCCAGTGAAAGGAGTAACTTCCTCTTCTACTTTAAAAAAAAAAAAAAGAGAAGAAGGAAAAAAGAAAAGAAAACTGAAAAAGGCTTTCCCTCTAGGGCAGTCTCCACTGCCACATTAAGGGATGCTTTTATTTTAAAGCAGTGGCATTTCTTCCAGCCTCTGAAATTGTCTTCAGCTTTTATAAACTGCTTTCACAAGAAAGTTTCTTGAAACAACTTCCTTTCTAAACTTGCCTCTCTACTAGCTGAGGCATTTTAAAAGATATAATTCAAATAGAGAACATCTGTTTTAAAGTGCTTTCACCACATTCTGAAAGATAGGTAGTAGACTATCCATCCCCCACTATAGAATTCCGGTTTTTGAAAGTGTCTTTCTCCAGTTTCTCCACAGCCTGCCATCATTGGTGTAAATACCAGAACAGAGAGATTTAGGTAGACAACAAGAAAATACATTCAGGTTTGATACAAATATTTTTCCAGTGTCATGCAATGTTTTTTTTTTTTTTCTAGATTAAATTCAGCTCCCAGCACGATTCTGTAATGCAGTTTTTAAGTGATTAACATTTGAGAACCTTTGTCATTTTTTATTTTTAGGTTTTTAAAGTCATTTTAGAAATACTTTGGCACTGTAATTGATGTCTTTCTTAAAATTCACAATTCTATGCTCTTTACAAAAAGGCATTTTATTTTAGTTGCTACCCTGGGAATTGAACCCAGGAGTGCTCTACCACTGAGCTATATCCCCAGCCCTTTTTATTTTGAGACTGTGCCTCACTAAGTTGCTGAGGCTGGCCTTGAAGTTGTAATTCTCTTGACTTAGCTTCCAGATCACTGGGATTATAGATGTGTGCCACTGTGTTCAGCTCAAATTAAGATATTTTAGTGATGAAATAAACAGAAGTTAGAGAAATCTTCATCTCAAAACTCCTCCCCCATGAAATTTCATGTGCTATTCCTTCATTTGTTCCTTTATACTTCCATTCTTGTTTAACATGTTTATTGAGCATCTGTTCTATGTGAGGTACTGTTTTTAATAACTGGATGAATACCAGGAACAAAAGACAGGATCTCTTTCTTCCTGGAACCTAAAGTCCAGTTAGGGAGATACATGTTTAGTAAATTAGCAAGAAATAGCTACAACAAAGAACACACCCTGATGAAAGCTATAGAATTTAATTAATAATAATGTATCAGTACTGATTCTTCAACCTTAATGAACGTTGTGTCAATAGTAGGGAGAACTGTGGAGGTGAGTGGATATGCAAATCCTGTGCTTTTTTACTTGATTTTTCTCTATACCTGAAACTACTCTAAAAATACTTTATTAATTAAAAATACAATTCAATGGGCTGAGGTTGTGACTCCATAGTAGAGCGCTCGCCTTGCATGCTTGAGGCATGGAGTTTGATCCTCAGCACGACATAAATGCAAAATAAAGATATTGCATCCACTTAAAACTAAATAATAAAATAAATATAAAAAATAAAATTCAAAATAGCTATAAAAGACAATCACTCAAAAGAATATAAAGAGGATGCTGTTAGAAAGAATGGGAGAATAACATAATTTGGGTGGAGAGTGAAGAAAGACCTTTGAGAAGTGTTAAGACCAGAACTAGAGGATGAGAAAGAACTAGCCAAGCAAAGCAGCCTCCATAAAGCCAAGTGAAACCATTGGAATTACCTTTGGAAATATGATTTTGGCTTCTCTGTGGAGAATATATTATGGGGTGGGGCAAGAGAACAAACTAGGAAAAAGTTGGGAGAAGCTTAGAATGGACCCCAGCTTTTGCTTCCCACTCAATGAGGCACTAGAGGAGGAGAGCAACAGACTAAGTCTCACTGTTCAGCTTATGCCAGAAACAGATGCTCTAAGAACTGAGTGCTAGGGAGAGAGGAGACTGCATCCTCCCAAGATCTGTCCAGTAACTCAGTGGGATACACGGAATTTAAAAACAATCTTGGTTTTTGTTTCTTCAAAGTCTATATGTTGAATTTTTTTTTTTTTTACAAGTCACTAAAAAGTAACCTTTAAAAAGGTTGGTGTAAGTTAGGCACATCAGTATTGAGTGGTTCGTATCAAAATTCCTAGGGGCAGTGAACTTCCAAGGAAGAAAATAATGTTGGATAAAAGGAAGCATCTGCCAGGATGGATTTCTGCTGGTTCTGGAATTAGTAGTATAGAAGAAGCTTGGAAAGTTCATAGTTCTCTTTGCATTTAAAATTAAGCAGCTCCATGTAATCCACTTCTCCATTTCTAATTTTTTATCTGCTTATGTGTATGTGCACACAAAATTTCCAAAGCATTAACTATTTTGTCCATTTCCTTTATAGTAGAAAAATTGCATATGATGGCTGTATACAAATGTATAAGAAAATTAGATAATATGTTGAAAATGAGGTTGCATTTCATAGCACTTATCTACTAATGATACAGAATGGTTAATGCATCTATTTATACTTCTCTCTAGAGTCAAGATTTTTTTTTCTTTTGTATTCCCGGAAACACAAACACTAAGGAAGATTCCTCCACTTGAGCAGATTTGTTGTTTATTTTAGGAAATAAATGTGCATCATTAATGTAAGTTTAAGTAGTCCAGTTATGAATATGGAATGAAGAGACACAATGAAGTTCTCCACTCTGATGTCTCCATTAAGAAGCTCCTCTTTGTATAAAATACTCCATAGCAAAGTTGCTTCTATTTAAAGTACTGAGTTTGATCTTGGCTTTGATCTAAACCTTTTGATCTTGAAAGAGGGATGGAGTAGCAATAAAGAGAGGGCAAGGCAGATTTTCTTTAAAGAAATGCGATAAACTTAAAGGGTGGTCAAAATCAGCAAACGAATACGACCCTACTCTCCTGCCGGCTCTCACTAGCAATCTGGTCCCACTAGCTTCTGAAACTGATGGAAAACCTTTTGGTGATTACCTGAAAACTTGGGGGTAGCGAACACTTTTGTAAACGAAGTGGAAACTTTCTCCCTAATTATGAAAACAGATTAAGCTCCTTTTAATTCCACCAGTGACTTTAGAGCTGCAGGGCTGTGCGCCCACGCTGTCGGGGCGAGTGCGGCGCTGGCTGAGCGTAGCCGGAGCGCGGCGGCTCCCGCGATGCGCCGGCGGAACTGGGGGCTAGGTTTGTCTGCACTCCAGGCTTCTCTCTGGAGGTCACCTGCCACCTCCAGACCTGGAGGAACACTGAAAAGCTTCTACTTAATTGCGCTGTAATCTATTCACGAACAGTGCATTTGGAAAGTTCCTTTCCCTTCACGAAAGCTATCGGACACTTAGCTTCTGACCCGAGGAGCAAGTACTGGCTCCTCGCGGGGCTGCGGGAAGCATCTCTGCAAAGCCTTTGACTGCGAGCAGGCAGCATTTCGTGTGCTCCAACCTCCGAGAAAGCCTTTTGCGGGTACCTAGGGCCCGGGGTCTGAAGGCTGCATAGGTGAAGCAGGCGCGCCCGGGGTCTGTCCACGCGTGGGGGGTGCCGTGGCGCGAGCATGGGCCGGAGCCCAGGAGAGGAAGAAAAACATTTGCAAGACGAACAATAAAATAGAGGGCGCGTGGGGCTGGGGCGGGGGCGGGGAGACCTGCGGGAGGGGCGGTGCGGCGGCCTATACCTTTAAGGCAGGCCCCGCCCCGCGCCGCGCCCGCCCGCCCGCCGCCCGCGCCCGCCGGCCCCGCGCAGCCCGCGCTGCGCTGCGCTGCGCTGCGCGCTCGGTGCTGCGGGCCCCCGCCGCGCTCTGGGCCCTCGGGGCGGCTGGGTTCTGGCGCGGCCGCCTCCGTCCTCACCTGCCGCGGGCGAGGTGCGAGGCTGCGCGCCGGGTGGGCAGGGCTCGGGGAGGGAGGCGAGGCCGCCCCCGGGGTGAACTTGACCCTGTCCCTTTCCCCGCAGCCTCTGCAGAGCGAGAGCCAGGCCGGGGCGGAGTGCGGGCTCGTGCGGCAGGTGAGCGCCGAGGTGAGTGAGCGGGCGCCGGGGCGGCGGGTGCGGCCTGCGGGCGGAGGTCGCGGCCGGGGGCCCTGAGCCTGGCGGCCTGCGGGCTCGAGCGCGGCGGAGCGCTTTCCGCCGGCCAGCGGCCCTCGGCACCCGGCCACCTCTTTAAAATGCTCTGTGGTTCTTGAACTTCAGGTGACAAAATGGATTCGAGTGAACCGCAGACCCCGAAAACGGCGGCGAAGGGAGAAAAACGAGGTGTTTGAAAAGGTAGGGATCCTTGAGAGAGGACCGGAGAGGGTCTCTATAAATCGCCGCTTCCCGAAGCCCCGGGACCTGGTCACGACAATTAGAATAGCATTCTTTAAATGTTTCTATTACATTTCCAGTAAGCCGTAGCTGTAATTTCTGTGAATAATTCTATGGAAATATTGTCGATAATCGTAATGAGCATCACATGCGACGTTCTCGTGAGTGGCTGGTGCAGATCTGTTTCGTGCTCATTAAATAGAGCAACAGGACCCAAGCGGTGTCCTTATTAGACCAGCAGTGCCGAGGTGCCTCTGAACCTGAAAGCCTCCCAAGTGCATCTCCTGCAGGCTTCTGTGGTGGGACAGAGGCAGTGGCCCAGCACTCGCCTGCACTCAGGTTGGAGTTTTCTGAGAATGGAGAGACAGGAAAGAAGTGGATTGCTTTCAAAACGCTAGGAGGGATTTTTACTGTAAAGCAAATGAGGAATTTATTTTTCTAAATTTAGAAATAAAATGTTACTTTGTAGAAGTTAGAACTGTCTGTTTTCTCCTGAAATAGTGTGAGGTTAAAACTTGATTCATCACTGAAATAAATATTTTGAAATAAGGTAAGTGATCTGTAATTTTCTGAGTTACCGAAAACTCTTGAAAGGGAACAATATTTCTACAGATAGATATGCTTTCTACAGCAGATATGCTTTCTGTTGCTTTTGCTTAGTTATATTTTACTGGTTTTTTTTTTTTTTTTTTTTTTTGGTTTTTTTTGTTCTTGGTAGCACAGAGGGATTAAAATAGTGAGGAGTTGTTTTTCTGCTGTTAGAATGTATGACGAATCACTCTTAATTCTGCAGCCACATTCCTGCTGATAGTATTGCTGCCAACTTCTGTAATGTGTTGCCTTAGTATGGGCATCGCAGTGTCTGAGAACTTGCACAAAGTACACCAGAATGAAGGTGATACCAAAGTCTCCAAGTGCATTTAAGGATACTGGGCAGCTTCTGAGATAGTTGGAAAGAGAACTGGCCTGGGAGCATGGCAATTTGTAGTTAGACATTCTGTATGTGCAGAGTGGTACCCTGACCCTTCCTCTTTTAAACAATGAGTCAGAGATGTCACTTCAGTTAAACAGTAATAGAAAAGTCTTTTGAAACAGATTTGGGGACCATACCTCAGCATGCTATGGTAGTTTATGTTGATTTTTTAAAAAATATAGCACAGTGACAGTTGAGAGCATAAAGTATCTAAAGACAGAAAAGAATTGTGGTGTGCCTCATACTTTACCAAAAAAGTTTGCAATGATTATTTTTTAAACAAAAAATAAGATTACTTAAATGCACAGTATATCATGCAAAAAGGAAAAGCCATTACGCTTATGGATTTCTAGGCATCTTCCTACCAAAACCTAATCGAGGAGTGACCTTATATGTGATAGCTGTGTTCCCACCATTGTGTCTTCTGAGAGTCAGGGGGACTAGAGAGTGATTGCAGATTTTACCTTCCAAAAGAATGGAAATTCTCCACTTGACTATTCCTCGATGAGAGTCTGTTGTGTTGAAACTTTCAGGAACAACGCACTTTTGGCTCTTCCTCCTAGGAAATCGGGGCTGCAGTTTTAAAGGGAGCATGAAGATGAACTAGTCTTGGACCAACATGGAGAACTTCCTTTCAAGGAGTGAAACTTAGAACTGACTATTCCCCAGGGTGGAGGTGGGGCGGCAAGAGGATGGGACATATCAGAGTTAGAGCAGAACACATTCATCATTGGTGTCCCCAGTCTTTCCTCTGGTTCTGGGTAGTACCACCCAGCCTTTGCCTACTGTTTAGCCTCTGCAGCACCTGAGAGAAGGTTTGGAGTGGGCTGAAGCAAAGCATGCAGTGTTTCCAAGGGCCAGGTGGAAAGAAGTAAGGTCAGCGGCCCAAGGACATTGGAACAAGTCCTGAAGGGCCCGGAAGCCATCCTGCAGCTGTAGGTGAGGTGTGTCACTGTTTTGAAATACAGATTGAACTCTGGTAATGAGTGTTCCAGTCCGAAGTCATGTGTTAACCTTTAGCTAGGAACAAAGTAGTTCACTTACTGTTGACTCTAAAAAGTCATTTAAAAAATATCTGCACTGCCACAAGTAGAAGCAGATTACTCAAAGCGTCCTTTTTTTGTGCATCCACTATATTTTTCATGTACATTAAATAAAATGGTGTTTTCCTGCTTTCATTCATTTGATATTACTGTAAAATAAGAAAGTGTGTTGCCATCATTCCATAGGGGTCCACATGTTGAGGGTAGCCCATGTCAATTTGCCTACTTTGTCTTCCTTGCCCTCACTCCTCTCCCCTCCTCCCCCTGCCCTGCCTTCATTCCCCGAGTGCCTCTGCAATCTCAGGCCTCTCAGGATTCAGCCTGGTTGAGTGGCCTGCATTAACTCTGCTCCTGTGATGGGAGGGTGCAGCCCTCCCTGTTTGTGGAGGGCAGGAGCTGCAGGTATGTTTGTTTTCCCCCTTAAAGAAGTTCTCCATGGTCCCAAGTGATAGGCACAGCCTGATGGAAATGCAGGCTGAGGTTTTCCGTGATTTCAGAAGAGGAAGCAAAATAAACTGCCTGTGCTCAGCTGAGGGTTAAAATAATGAATAATGAATTAAAGTCGATTGGGTGAGAGAGATGCACCACCCAGATAAGTGATTTACAGCTCTCCTGGCCTTTCTGTCCTCTGGTCCCTGCTGCTTCTTGTCATTCCCACCTGCCTGAGAGCTGCCGGCCTTTGTCTGCTGTTTTAACAGGTTTCACTCCGTGTTCTCTCAAGATGCAGCATTTTTCCTCCTGCGTCTTCTAATACTTTTCTCTGATGTTTATTTCCAATATATTTTAGCTTCATATTGTGGCTTTTGTTCCCTCGTGCGACAGAATCCTTTTATACTGTGTTTTGTTTTCTTCATTTAAAATAACAAACTTGCCTCTCTTCTGCTTCTGGTCCTAGGGTATTTTCTCCTTCCATTCTGACATTCTTCCTTTTTCATGATTTCAAGCTCTTATTGTTTGGTTTGAGTGATTTCTATAATGAAAAGCAAGAACGTGAGAGACTGGACAGAGAACAGCTAGGACGGAAGGGTGAGCAGCTCTTCAAGGGGCAGGGGAAGCTTCGTGGTTGCAACAGTAAATCGTATGTGAGCGTTTTACAAATAACATTTTACCAGATAGCCGTTGGCTGTAGAACAACACATTTTTTCCTGTTTTTACCTTTGTCCAATTCAAAAATAAATGCAAATTATGTATTACAATAAAAATTAAGGGATAACGTTTTTATAAACATAGACACGTGAAGTAATATGAGTTTTGATAATTTTTCAGTGTTGAAAAAATGATACAGTAATATTTATGGAATAAAGTGTTTTAAGAAGAGTACATGAATGGGTTATGATTGACTTCTCTAAAGGAAGAAAATTTCAATTTTCAGATTCAAAAGAACTGTCCTTCCTCTATGTCTGAATATGCAAAAGACAAATTTTATGTTACTCATTTCTGGTCACCACTAAAGTATATATCATGGTATTGGAAGTGTTTCATTGGCTTACTTTTAAACATGGAAAACTGAATAGGCGCTGTAGCTCACAAGTAATGCTTTATGTGCGCTGTGTTTCCACAGAGTGTGCAGGGCCAGACTGGCCTTTGTTACAGTTGGTCGGGACTCACCCGAGGTGCAGAGGGTTTCCAGCTGCAGCACCCGTTAAGATTACTTTAATGGGTAACCTAATTATTTTCTGCTTGAACCTGAAAAGCAGTACTTGATGAAGTTTTCATTGAAATAATGCAGATTGAAACTTTAAAATCTAAAAAAGATGGTGGTGAAAAATATGGTCTTTGTTGTATTTAGTGGCTGTTTTAATTGGAGCCAAATGATAAGTTCTCTTCTTTGAGCATGAGAAAAAAATATTAAAACTATTTTTCTTTGTGATAATGATCCTTCCTGAATTACGGAACATTTTGCTCTACTTTCATTTGTCCTTTCTAGATACTTGATTCTGAATTACAACCAATGATAACCTAAGTTGGAATGTTAATTCACAGGTTTTAAAATTGTATGTAAAAATCCAGCTTGGTTTATGCATTTGCAGCCTTTATAGGTCCTTTTAAAATTTTATATATTGTAAGAAATACTTTTATTACAGTTATAATATTGAAATATTCAAAATAAGAAAGGTAGGTACAAAATTTAAACTATGTAACAAAGTGCAGTACTGCTCTGTTTGCCTTTTGTGACAAAAGTCTTGTTTTATGTTTAGTTATGGTTTCTGGAAACCAATATTTAAGACAAATTAAAATTATTTAGCTTTTTCTTGAACCCATAGAGCAGACAGTGAGTTAAGCCTGACTCCAGAGCCATCAATACACAAAACTTCGCCACATGGCCCAGAGTGACTTAGGAGAGTGCTGAAGAGAGAGTCCCTTTACTTTGCAGGAGGCATCCTCCACCAGCAGAAGGGTGGGCTCTGGCCTGCAGGCCATGCAGCTAAGGCCATTCCCAGGCACGGTGCCCCTGCGTTTTTGAGGGTGCTGCTGTCCTGTGAAGAATTCATGATTAGCTGGCATTTGTGTGGCCCCTCTTCCTTTACCAGGCCTAGGCTGATCCTGATTTCCATAGAAAAGCTTTATGGATCCTAATGAGTCACAGCTGGGGCACCACCGCCCAGACCCTCCCTCCAGCCCTGTCTGTGAATGGCTCTGAACTGAGTGCTGATTGAGCCTCTGGATGACAACTTACTTTAGTGATGGGGGGAGGCAGAGTAATTTATTAAAAGTAATTACAAATAAGCCAAACAAAAGGTAATTTCAGTGCCCCTAATTATTGCTGCTGTACTTAGACCTGTGAGTACTTTGGTCTTCTTTGAGGGGTCTCCCCATTTTTTTCCCTTATAAATTCTTAATAGATACATAATGTATTAAATCCTCTGTACCCAGATCTCAGGTTAGATCTGGTTTCACAGAATCTTGCTCCCCACCCCCCAAAAAACTGAACCAGGGAATAATTG